CCGGCTGTAGAGTACTGCTAACAAAATTTATATCTTATGAATATTTGTATGCATATCAAAAGTCACATTTGAGTTCATCTGACAAGGGGCGTTAGATAGCGGAGGGATGGGGCTATATCCCATACACTTATTGAGGTGGGTGGCTTTTCATGCACGCCCCTACTTTCAGAAGAGAGAGATGGGGTGGATAAAATTTATATTTTACACGACAATAAATACTGATATTTATCTACAAATCCGTCATCGCTATTCATACTCTCCTAATGTATTAGTACAGAAATGGAATTTGAAATACATCGTTACTGTAAAAATGGCTGATAATTCGTTCAAGAATACATTATTTTACTGGGAAACTCAGACGGGGTTAATTTTGGACGCATTCCCCATTACGATTTTTTTTCTCACAATTCCTAAATCACGTCGTTGATCACTGCTCGACGAGGTTAAATCGTTGCTTTATTCAAAATTAGGAATAGACCTACTTGAGGGAGTCGCTGGGATCCGGGGGATATTGCAGTTTTCGCTTCCCCACCCGGCCCGCCCGGGCGCGGTCTGCCCCTTCCGTGACCCTCGCGGCAACAACCTTCACCCGATTTCAGGGTGCGACTCATCTCCTTTGGGAGGGCCCATCGGCCATCCGCGCGGCCGCGGCTGCTGCCATGCCCACCTTTGACCAGACACCCCGGTATTCCATTTCCCGATTTTATACTACAGGCCGCCCGTGAGATACATGCACCTATTGGTTTCAAATCTTCGGCCCGCTTGTTTTTCGCCGGGCCGCTGGGGTTTCCTTCTCATATTCTTTTGGCCCAGTTTTAGTTCTCACTTCTCAGTAAACATATACGTTTTATCAAAATTTCAGGGGCAGATGATTCTAGTGCTGAAGTTCGTCAACGGGGGTCGGTAAAGTCAAGAGCGCGGCTGGTCGCCCCCTTCCGCCTAGAATTGTTTCAGAGGTAAAGCCCTAATTTAGCCTAGGTAAGTTGCCGCACTGGCAACCCCAGTCGGAGACCATGTCATGTACCCCGTTAGCACCAAGTCCCGGGTAGTGAGGACCGCCATTTTTACTCTTTGGTCCCAAGGTAAAAATACTCAATCAACAAGTGATGTATCTGGGTGATGTAATTGTTTAATAGTGCTGCCTCATTAGTGCAGCGAAATTGCATCGAGAGGTGTTACCAACAAGACATTCGCGGGGGAGGCTCCCACTGGACCTTCCTAAACAGGAGGGGGACACCACCTGAAGGGAGGAAAGAATCCGTGATATTTTAATGATAGAAGATGTGTCGGGCAAAATTGAATTGCTTTGAGATTGAATGCTGGGGGTTTGAGACAATTCCACACAGTGCGCGCTTCGTGCCCTGAGCTGCGGCATAATGTCGCGCCCCCCGCGCGCTTCCCGCCCGCCGCGCCCCTAGGAGCATGTTTATCTTTCTGATCCGCCAGGTGGTTAATTGGTTTGCTGTGTCTGGGGCCTGCGTGTTCCTCTGCACCTCCAAAGGAAAAAAATTACCCTCGAATTCATGCAATAAGCACTTTACAATGTCAATTTGTTCAATCTACCTCAAAAACGACCATCTTGAAAGTTTCTAAATTGCGGGTAAAACAAGAGGCCGCGGCCCGCGGCTGCCCTGGACCCCGGCAAAGGGCCTCTTGCCCCTGCACACGGTCAGGGCCCCTACGCGCCGCGGGCCCTGTCCCAACCCATTAAGGGATTTGCGCGAAGGCTGTCGCGGTGTGCCGCTACTCGCACACCGTTTCACTATACATTATATGGCAGGGTACAGCGAAATCATTCCCCCCCCCCCCCCACAACTGAGGACCTGTCTACGCCCACTGACACACACACACACACACACACACACACACACACACACACACACACACACCACACACACACACCACACACACACACACTACCTGTCGTGAGCTTAGATATTTTTTATTTTCAAAGAAGATCAGTTTTACACGCAAGTAAATTCAGCCAGTTCGGACATGTTACGTATCGTTAAAAAGGATTATCCGAAGTATACCGAGGTTTGCCGAACGCGAGTTGATTTCGTCTCACTTTTACCGAAGCGCCCTCTGTCCCCATATGTGCATAATGGCCGACAGTAAGCTGTACGATCTTCTAGGAGTCTCCCGAAGTGCCACCGATAATGAAGTAAAAAAAGGTACATGTATGCATGTGTAGTTATGTAATTTCGCTAGCGTAATATCCCGTTTATGGAAATTTTGTAGAGTTATTAATTTTCAATGTCACTGCGTACGTAAACCACGTTGCCTCCTTTCTCGTGTCCTATCCCACTGATGAATCATGATTCCATTTGTGACTGTCAAATATACATCATGTGATGTGCAAGCATGTCGAAACAAGAATGACGCCAATGAGTTAGTTTCAGTGTGGTACGTCTTGCATACAGATTGAGAACCTACTTAATAAACTATTCCAATCTCCACATTCCACATACACTGCCTTTCATGCTAAAGAAGTTGCAGGGCTTTTAATTGACGATTGCTGCAATTATGTAACTTGCTAAATCACAGGCACTTGTATCTTCCGTATCCGCTATCTTGGGCCCGGCGTCCCTCGTCTCAGTATTTCATAAACGGCACTCGATTTCTCTTGCGCAATGTGCGGGGCCCGGAACTCCTGTAGATTACAGGAATTCTGTCTACAAGTCGAGCCATTAATTCGTTACTTTCTCTAATTGTGTAAGCAGTGGGGCCTACCGGGTACGTGAGCCGTAGTCTTAATGTCTCGGCAGGCTGACGGTCGACGGGGGAGTCCATTCGCTTTCATAGCTTAACCGCAGACAAAGGATGCGGCTGGGTGCCCGTAGATTTGAAATAACGCCTTGGCGCAGAATAAATTCACGATTTGAGAGTTTAGCATGAACTAGAACCGCCCCTAAGCCCTAACGCTAACCGCCTAAACGCCTAACGCAAAAAAGGGCTTGAAGACCGGACGGCTACCGTACCTCCAGCCACTGACGAAATTGATAATGCCTTTCTAACAATATTCTAACCTCATAACCTCATAAGTGGATCATCTTCAAAAGTCCCTGGACTATAACGCGAAGGATGGAGAGAGACTGATCAAGTCGGTAGGATCCACCGTGCGGGATCGCAGCGGAAAATTGTAAGATTTGCTATCTTGACGAAGATGAACGGCGTGAATTCCACATACCGGATCACAGAGACAAACGAAGCTAAACTTAAAGAAATCCTTTAGGAAGGATATATAAGGTTAAAGTTTAAACTAAAGCCTTTATATACTGATAAAACTTAGTTGCTTAGAACTGCTTTTGTTCCTTTTGCCCTATAATAAGACACATGTATTCATTTTTTTTATTCAGGCTTACAGGAGATTGGCCAAAGAATATCATCCAGACAAAAATCCAGAAAATGGTGATATAGTAAGTACCAGTTCAGGGTTCCAGCCAGGAATTTTAGAAGCCATGTTGTTCAGGGACAGATAGCGGAGGGGCCCGGTAGAGTGTTGGACCAATTGGAGTCAATCGCACGTGTCATAAGCTATCCTATTACAGGGTGCAAAATTAACGGGAGTCCGGAGTCGAATACTCCCTGATTTATTGTCGGACTCCCTGATTTGACATATTTGCAGGAGTCCGTGTGACTCCCTGAAAATCCTGCCATACTAACTAGTTCGTTTTCGGAGTACGGCCTCATGGAACCGTACTTTTTTCAGCTAATGTCTAATGAAAATTTGCCAGACGTGCAACTGCATGAATCTTAAAAATAAGCATATATATGCGTTATTGTTAATATCTTTAATTTTGAACCTCAGACTGCGGACTCCTTTATTTTGCTGCGGACTCTCTCTTTTTAAGGGTAGGGAGTCCGTTGGAAAGTAAATTTCTACCCCTGCTATTACATATGTACACTTGATCAATTTCGAGACGCATGAATGTGAGATGTGTCACTGTGAAAACGGCAAGATTTTGTCGGGACTGTCAAAAAGTAAACGCAGCTGGAAATTAATGCATGTAGATTAGGAAATTAAGGGATGTCGTAGGATTTTTGAAAAGGTATGTCAGATCCGAAATGCATTAAAAGCCTAGAGAGGACTCTGTGCAGTTAAAAAAAGACACGTTACAAGTAATATTTAAGAAGGTAGATGCATGTGTGTGTCTGTGTGTAAATTGCATACATGGTATGTTTCAGTTTGAGCAGTTTATATTCAAGTGTACAATCTAGATCATTATTACAATGTAATATCATGCTCAGTGGCGCAAATGTCATTCTGGGGTGATACTATCTGGTCTCGCGCATATCTGGGTGGTATTCATATAGTTACATTTAATTTGTTCTAGTTTAAAGAGATATCATTTGCATATGATGTGTTGTCAAACCCAGAGAAGAAAGGAATATATGACAAGCATGGTCTGAAAGGTTTGCAGGAAGGGGCTAGTGATCATTCTGGTAAGTAATGTCTGGTAGTATATAGCAAGGCTCGACACTAACTTTTTTTTTCAGTGGCCCGATCGGGCCACCAAAATTATTGATTTTCAATTTTTGGTGGCCCGAAAATGAAATCTGGTGGCCCGGAAAAAAAACAAAGAAAAACATTATAAATCTTTATTTCAATCTCGTATTGTATATTATTTGAAAATTGGGCTGTCTGATGCACTTGCACAAGTCTTTAAACGAACCCCACACAATGGCACACACTGACATTGATGATTGAGGCATACATTTGAATTATCCATTCCACGGCATCATATTTTCACCAGAATCTTGCATACCATTTTTCTACTTTCACTCATTATTTATCTAAACACGCGCGTGCACATGCTATCGATCAGTTCAGACGTTCAAGAAGATCAAAGTCACCGAGCATGCAAATATTAAAACAAGTAACTGTAATAAAACAACAACACATTGGCTTTTCATGTTAAAATAAAACATATACAGTTAATCTCAAGAAAGTTAAAATGTCTGGCAGGCTTTGAAACTGTAAAAATAAAATATTGCAGATTTAATAAGATAAAGTAGAACCATAATTATATCAACAAAGTAGCCTGGGTACGCATGCATTTAAAAAGAAAAAGCAGCCATGTCTAAGACTAAGTTCAATATTTCGTTGCATAAAGAGACAGAGAAAATGCATAAATAAACTTACAAAGCACTAATAGTAATATTACACTTCGGATTAAAATACTGATCATCTTCATGGAATAGTTCAGTTATTCTACGCGAACTTTCGAACGCTGGCAGTTTCGCTTCGGATCTGAAACAGTGAGCACCAGTGCAGCTAGCTAGCAATCAGGGTGACCAGACGTCCCGTATTTTGCCCATGGTGTCCCGCGTCCCTACCGACCTTCCGCGGGACGCATGTGTGTCCCGTATTTTTAACATTTTTAAACAAAATACATCAAAAAAGGAAGAAATTTTATCATTTTTTTATTACAATGTTTGCCTTCCGAAACTCATTCATCGCTCGCGTTCATTTTACATACGCCTCCACAGTACATTGCAGACAGGCGTATTGTCTAGACGCATTGTCTGGTTCGCTTGATACAATGTAATCACATGTATGCTGGCGCTTGCAAATATGCCCCGTCAGATTTTGACCTCTGGCTAGACTGGTTCGCGGCCGAACTGTTCGTCGCAGAGCGTGTACATTGTCTAGCAGAGCGTGAGCCGGATACCAGTCTAACACAATAACGTGGCTTTGTTGCAGCCGCAGTAGACGGATAAAACCGTGCGCGCCCGTGTATGCCCGCGTAGAATGCTGCACGTGCGTACGTGTGCCCTCGCTCCGCGAATTGCTCGCTCTCTTTTGAATGAGATTAGCACGTAACAATTAGAAACAATTATTTTTATCACATAGACACTTTGAAATTTAGTGCCCGATCGGGCCACCAAATTTTAACTTTTGGAAATTTTGGTGGCCCGACATCAAGTTTTGGTGGCCCCGCATCTCGGCCTAGGAGTATCGTAGAGACAAGCGGTTGGTCTTATTTTAGAGAGCAAAGAATGCTGCTTAACGCAAATACCATGAACTTAGTCTAGAACCGCATACAAAGTAGAATAATATTGCCGTGAAATAGCACTATTTTCCCGTTGTACACTCTAAGTATTTTTAGCTCTTGAATATAAATATAATATATATTATATATATTTTATATATTAATTATATATATACTGAATATATGCTGAATCTAAATTTTCACAGTCAAAGAATTTTGCAGAATGCATCTCGGAGCGTCTAAAATCAAAACCCAGATCCCCCCTCCCCCCCCTCCGCAAATGGCAAAATTGTGCTCACTGCGTAGCCTCAGCGCGGCACTTCAGAAAAGTAAGGGCTGGTAGCTATTTTTAAGGGCTAGTAGATTTTACAGGTCACTAGCCCTGCTGGCTAGTGAACATTTTACGTTAGTTTCAAGCCCTGTACACAGTTATCATGTATTTTCAGGATTTTTTGCAGATGACCTATTCTCACATATCTTTGGAGGTGGGATGTTCGGAGGTATGGGGGGAGGCATGGGAGCGATGGGTGGTGCCAGGAGAGCTCGCAGACAACGGGGCCAAGATACCCTACATCCTCTCAGGTACTTGCAGCTGCATCTGTAACGTGTTGTTTTATAATAGTGGTTGAATGTGGCAATGTATAGTGCAACCATTTAACCACAAAGAGTGGATAAAAATAAAAATGTATATCCATAGTTTGTCAACAAATATTGTTAGTATTACTTACAGTGATACAGTCACATTAAATGTTGTCCATTTATAAGGCTGTGTGTGTGTTAGATCAGTTGGTGTGTGCATGTGTCTGTATGTGTATGCAATTATACTTTTGAAGGCAATCATATGTATGTCCATTTGTGATTGTTCTTGATTTGCTTACTATGTGTAAGATTAGTGTCCATCTGGGATTGTACTTTACTTGCTTACTACATGTAAGATTAATGTAAAATTAAATAGTAGAGTTGGTTGGTTCTCATTTTCTGTTATAGTTTCTGTGTGGGGGTGTGATATTTGTTAAATTGGAGTTAGTTTACTCATTCATTACCTGGGTACAAATTTTTCATTGCAAGTTACCACAGTATAATAAACAGAAGATTGAGTGTAACATGCATAGGTGTAGAATTGAATTTTATTTGAATTTTTATGTATTTTTCAGAGTCACTCTAGAAGATCTCTATACTGGAAAAACAGCCAAGTTGCAACTCAGCAAAAATGTCATTTGCCTTGCATGTAAAGGGTATCGTATTACTAATGTTTATTTTTCTCAAGAATCATTACATCAGAGTAAAGATAGACATGCATTCATTATGCAACTTTAGGGTTTATCATATTGAGACATTGTGTAACACGTCACAGGTGTGTTGCAAACGTGGTAATTATTGGCGTATTATATTCAATGATTTATGTTATCTCCATTTTCACTATGTTAGCTGCACACACTGTGTTTTACATTGAAACCTATAGCACTTCACGCTCACTCCAAACACCATAATCACATGGTCGTGTTGATTGGCACATGGCATTTTAGTGTGTGTCACACGTATCTAATGGCCCAGTCACACATACGCGACGCACGGCCCGCGCATTGAAAAAATGGAAAATAAGATCAGTGCGTCGTTGTGCGACCAACTTTTGTCAGGATTTGGGAGAAGCTAGCGAGTTGACAACGAATGCACAGTGTGTTGCTAGCACGCTGCGCGTATACAGGGCGCATACAGAGTGCATACAGAGCATATACAGGGCGCACATGTTGAAAAATCCAACGAATGCACAGCGTGTTGCTAGCGCACGAAACGAATGGTCCGCGCATTCAACGCACAGCCAGCGAACGGCAGCGGTCATGCATGCTGTGACAATGAGCTTGACGGTCTCGGGCTGCTGCTGCATCGTGCTCAGGAGAACTTGGAAATGGTTGGCCAGGATTCCGAAGGCATTTTCTACGACCCTCCTGGCTCGGGAAAGCTGGTAGTTCAAGATGCGCTCTGGCCGCGTCATACCCCGGAGGCTGTACGGCTGCATCATGTTGGGTCGTAGGGCGAAGGCATCGTCGCCGATGAAGAAGTAGGGCACATCCTGGTTGTCGTTGGGAAGAGGATCGGGATCAGGGAAGCCTAGACTACCATCTTCAATGCATTCATTCAGCTCAGAGGCATTGTAGATCTGAGCGTCTGATGCTGATCCCATACCGCCGATGTCTGTCCAGATGAACTTGTAATCAGCATCCACGAGCGCCATGAGGACAACGGAGAAGAACCCTTTGGAATTGTAGTATAGGGAACCACTGTTTGGAGGACACTTGCAGTTGACGTGCTTGCCATCAAGTGCACCACAGGTATGGGGGAAGTTCCACCTCTCCATGAACTTGTTAGATATGGCACGCCATTTCTCAGGAGTGGTGGGACACTTCATCACCTCATCCTTGTACTCATCGATGATGGCCTGGCAGTGCTGGCACACTTCTGGGATGAGCAGTGATATGGTGTTGTGAGGCACCCTCCACCCATAGGACATTTAGTGATACTTGGTCCCAGATGCAAGATGCCGCAGAGTGAGGGCAAGCTTCAGGCCAGGGTCGAGGGCCTCTCTGTAGGCTGTATTCTGCTTGGTGATCCTCGGACCCATTCTGGTTAGCAGCTCGTCGAACATCTTGGGGGGGGGGTGTCATCCGCATGAAGTTCTTGAAGGCTGCCTGGTCTTCGTTACGGAGTTCAACAAGTAGCTGGTCATACAGGCCAAACTGTCGTCGCCTACCGATCCACGGTCGGACCCAGAACCTCCGTTGACTTCTTCTCTTTCTCCTTCTCCTGATGACATGGACTTGGGGAAGTGCCAGTTCCATGAGGTTCTGCTGATGTTGGAGAACCGCGATTTCGTATTGTAGTCGCAGCCTGTCGGGATCCTCCTTCTTCTGAGGTGGTTCTTCTAGACACGATCAGCAGGAACCTCTGTCATCACCCATGAGGGTCGGAGGAGAAGTGATGATGAGGAGGTGGGGGTGGGACCCGTTTATATACCCCATGGCTACACGTTGCGTACACGCTAGGAACACGCCAGAAGAACGCTGGACGTGCTACAGACTCGTTCAGCACTCGTTCAGCACGCCCATATTCGGTGCATGTTCGCTGGACATGCGTTAGAAGCACGCTAGGTGTGCGCTAGGTGTTCGCTACACCTCAGCCGACGAACATACAACGAATACCCAGCGTGTGCTCCGCGTGTGTCTGGCGTTGGTCCAGCGCGTGTCTGGCGTCCTTCTGGCGTGTACATTCATGCGTCGAGCCCCGCGCACATTTTTGTGCATGCACAAAAATCTCGACGCACACAGCGAATGACAACGAATGAATAGCGTTGGTCCAGCGCGCTTGACGAACGAGTAACGAATGCTGACACACACTCAGCGAAAGACACTGCAAAATTGCACAGTGCACAGGCCAAAATTGCTAATTTTTCAGTGCGTGGGCCGTGCGTCGTGTATGTGTGACTGGCGCATAAGGTATGGTCAATATGCTGCCTGTAGTTATAACTATGCAATTTCTTGTACACACTCTGAAGGGGTTCTCGTTGCACCTTTGCACCTGACAGTCATAATGTAATCGAATAATTAGGGAATCGCAAGTCACCACCATCCTAATTTTGACTCTGAGCAAGTCATGTAATATATTGCACAAGTGGCACCAGAGGGGTTAAGGGTGCTACAGTCGAATCCAGTTAGAAAAAAATGAGCAAGTTCGCAGGAAACGACTCGTAAACAAATTCGCAGTCGCCCTTCATCAATAGTAGTTGCAGTCGCAGTCGGTTTTACTTAAAAAAGCAATCAGCAGGATCAAGGACTGATTTATTTGTTCGTATGATATATTACAATATATTAATAGTTATAGATATATAAATTATTTCCTGCTGAATATGCTGAAGACGCCATTTTATACTTTGATTTTTGTTAAATCGAATCCCCTGGTTCTAGACATCCCTCGAGCCTCTATTAGCATCCCCCCTCACGCACGCACGTACAGTGCTGCCACTTTATACTTTTTATTAAGAAAATGTACTTTTTTCATACTTTTTTCATGCATAAATACTTTTAAATACTTTTTTTTGCCAAAGATGGTCAAAACTCTTCGGACTTACATTTAGGTACACTGTATTTGATGAAATTAAAGATGTGCTTTGCTAGTCTTGTTGCAGGAGTGATGTGTGCTCTGTTCAGTGGAGTGTTTTTGCTCTCAGCTCTCTGCTGTCAGTGACCAAATGACAGACCATTGCAGTGTTTCCCCTGCATTAACACGAGCGAGGCGGGCCGCCTCGCTCAAATTCTCAGCCGCCACACAGAAATTTTTCCAAAACACCGCCTCGCTGACGAAACTTTTGATAACTTGAAAAGGAGATACAAGAGTCTCATACAATGTGTCTAGAATAGCTTAAAATGCACCAAATTGCACCATTTTTTCGAAAAATTTTCTGTGGGAGCATTCACCCAGACCCCCCCCCCCCCATAGCTGGCTAGGACCTCGCAACACACAAACACATCACACACAAATTTACCACCTTACAGACCTTTCTGGCAAAGGGAAACACTGCATTGAATTATTCCAAACTGAGAGTTCAAGAGACAACTCCTCATGACATTGCACACATCATTCCTGAAGCTTGTTGACATTCTGCACATAGGCTATAATGTATTCGATAATAAGGTATAAGGTAACAACTCATGATAGGTTGATACAATTTTATACTTTCTTTACACTTTTTTTAGGCAATTTTGATACTTTTTTTGTAATATCCTTAGTGGCAGCACTGCACGTAGGCACACACGCACACACATAGTTGGGGATTTTGCTCCCCTCCTTTCATCGGTGACTTTAGCGTGCAATTTCTTTGACCAACAAGCTGGTCTCACCCCTATACATGATTATTATCATAGTCCATGTGCGAGCACTCTTTCTGTTGAGTAGACACTTAAAATTACACAAATATTAATTGGATAAGTACAGAGTCAATGCTGTACTTGTGAGACTATGCCCCGATTTGCATATGTGCATGTTCCAGTGTGTTTGATAACAAACTGCTGCAGCTATACCTTTGCTGTATTATGGTTGAGGATAAGCTAACCCCAAAAATAATCAAGTAATGTAATTCACACTCAGTGGTAATGAACAGAGGCTGAGAATATGAAAAGTATATTATTATAAAAAAAATTAAATTGTGCGTATTTCAGGATGGGTGGGCGACCAGGAGCGATGGTGAATTGCAAATCTTGCCATGGGCGTGGAATTAAAGTTACCGTACAGCAGTTAGGTCCAGGAATGGTACAGCATTTCCAGACAGTGTGTCCAGACTGTCATGGGGAAGGTAAATGTTGAGAACTAATTAAAGTGGTGTATAAATTCATGATAGCAGTGCGACTTACCAGTGAACAGAAGAGTAAATAGGCATATAATGTATGTGTTGTACTCTTGTTTTGGAATGTTTAGCACATTAAGTGAAATTACCAAACAAACTAGGTTGCTCTTTTATATTCTTTTTCTATAGTTATCAGATCAAATTGAAAGTTAAACGTCATTGCAACAATTTATTATGAGTTGTTAAACAGAGAATGAATACAGACATGGTGACTCATTATTTATGCTACCCTAGCAATATGCAATTGCAGTATTTGAAAAATGTGTGTTAACCTTATATCAAATACAACACTGTGCGACTGTTTTGTAACATGGGTTGTGTGTGTGTGCGTGCGTGCGATACACATATTATATAGTGCTCAGTCATTTCATTCCTGCGTTTCCTGCGATTGTATTAGGTGAATACATCAATGAGAGAGACAGATGTAAAGACTGTCTCGGGAAGAAAGTGAAAAATGAAACCAAAGTATTGGAGGTGCATGTAGACAAAGGCATGAGAGATGGCCAGAAGATATACTTTTATGGGGAAGGTGACCAGCAGGTAAGTGTTTGTATTCTGTTAGCTGTGGTGAGCAGTTGGTGGTGGGGGTAGTTGTAGAAGAGGGTGAATGCGCTTCATGGTGCATAATATATATATATATATATACATTAGCATATATATATATATATATATATATAAATATCGAATCTGCGAATCATGATGCAATCTATCAGAAATGCCATTAGAGACGTGGCATTCTAAGAATTTAGTATGACCATTTCTATATTGCTGGATAGGTTTACTTGTATTTAGCATATACAAACTGCTTTTAATTTGGTGATTTTCGCCACCTTGAACATGGGTTTATTTTGAAATATAGTATTAAGTGTATGTGCGTGTGGTGATGTTTGTGTTTATGTCTGTGTGCACGCACGTGGGTGTCGTCACACATGACTGTGTCTAGGTTGACATCTGTGTGATTACTTCAGTGTGTGGTATGTGAGCACACGTGTCTATATGTGGTGGGTGGCAAAGGTCTGCATATGAATCTCTGCAGGGTGGTGTGTGCACGTGTGTGTTACTGCTCACAGTATGTTTTTACCTTTTTGCAGAATTTCTGTCTGCACATATTTCTAATGTGTATGTGCTTGTGCGTGTGTGTCTTGCAGCCAGGTATAGAACCCGGTGACATCATTATAGTGCTGCAGCAGAAAGACCATGAGGTTTTCCAACGAGACGCGTCAGACGACCTGTGGATGACTCACACAATTGGCATCACTGAGGCTCTCTGTGGTGGCCAATTTACAGTGACGCACTTAGACAACCAGACACTACTGGTTACTATTACGGCCGGGCAGGTTCTAAGGCCAGGTAGTGATTTCACATGTATTTTTGTGTTTGAAAACATGCATAACATTTGTCACATTATTTATGGATTTTTTCTGTGTGTTTTTCTGTTTCTATGTGTTATTATCAGGAGTGGATAATAGAGAGGAGTATGACAGACTCGAAACACAAGATATTCAACATTTCCATGCCCATATTTACCTATGATTGATAACGTGAAATCCAATAACAATAACATCATGACTATAGCGCTGAACATCCAACTTGACCTCACACTTTACTGTGTATCGATGCCTCTTCTTATTATGTAGTTATAGCTTCGAACGTCAGATGTGGTTTCACTCATAAATATCGCTAAGAGTCTATCATTCGCATCCGATAGTTCAACAAGAGGCAGCTTTCATATCTGTTGGCGTGGTTCGGCGGGGATTACTATATACATCAGCACTCTTGATATCAGTAATAGTAGCGACCCTCGCACGCCCGCCGCAACGGCACCGCAACGGCGAGTGGTGGGACCGGCTAGTTTTTGTGAAAGCTAGTTGATATACAGTGACACAACTCTAGTGTAAGTGTAAAAAACGGGTAGTTTTTGTGAATGGGCCGCGTTCATGTTAGTTTCAGTTTTTACTGACTGTCCCAAGTGCCTGTTGACTGGCATGCTCAGCGTAACTGTGGTCTCTGACTCAGCCAGCCTCAGCGACCGTCTCGGTGTTATTAAGCTTACCTCGGCCAAGGAGGTTATGGTTTCGCCCCTGTTTGTTTGTTTGTTGGTTTGTCTGTCAACAAGATATCTCAAAAAGTTCTGAAATCTCTATCTGTACTAGCCGTGCCATGGGTTAGATCCAGCGTTCGGAGCTAGTTGCGAGTTGCAAATCCTCGCCGAACCCCGCCAACGGGTATCTTAAGAGAAAGCCCTCCCCCAGAAAATTTTTGAAATTAGACCCACTCAGATGCGTTTTCTGCGCGAGCAAGGAGGGGTGGTCCGGACCCAGACCGAGCACACGAAGGGGGGGTCTGGGGGGCCCTCCCCCAAATTTTTTTGGAAATTAGACCCACTCAGATGTGTTTTCTGCGCGAGCAGGGGGGGTCCGGACCCAGACCGAGCACGCGAAGGGGGGATCTGGGCGGCCCTCTCCCAAATTTTTTTTGAAATTAGACCCACTCAGATGCGTTTTCTGCGCGAGCAAGGAGAGGGGGGGGGTCCGGACCCAGACCGAGCACACGAAGGGGGGGTCTGGGGGGCCCTCCCCCAAATTTTTTTTAAAATTAGAACCACTCAGATGCGTTTTCTGCGCGAGCAGAACCCCCCCCCCCTAAATGCAAACTGACGGGGGAAAAAAGGGAAAGAAGCCAATCGTTGACGCACTATCACACACAATAAAAAGGTTCTCACTTCACAACACACACACACACACACACACACACAACACACACACTTACACACAAAATCATGGTGATCCAAAATCGTGTGGGGGGGACATTTGATATGATGTCCCCCCTCTGAAAATTCGTGGGGGGGACATGTCCCCCTGTCCCCCCCTGGATTTGCGCCCCTAAGTGAAACCACGTCTGACGTTCGAAGCTATAACTACATAATAATAAGAGGTATCGATACACAGTAAAGTGTGATGACAAGTTGGATGTTCAGCGCTAGTTCTGATTAATTTTTATTGGATTTCACATAATCAATCATAGGTAAATATGGGCATGGAAATGTTGAATATCTTGTGTTTCTAGCCTGTCATACTCCTCTCTATTGTCCATTCCTGTTATTATTTATATTTATTATACAACTCAATATTTTCTATATATAGTCATAATGGAATATAACATTATTTGAAATGCATGTTTTATAATTGGGAATTTTTTAATAGTTTGTCAAGAAACGAGCATACTGGTCTTTATGTGAAAAGTGTTATTTGACCTTTTTCTGTATTTTACAGGTGTGGTCATGACAGTAGAGCGCGAGGGAATGCCATTCTATAAAAATCCATTTGAGAAAGGCAATCTGCACATTAGATTTGACGTTAGGTTTCCTGAAAATGGTTTTGCTGACAACAGTGCGCTTGTGGTGAGTTCACTAATTATAATTTCAGCAGAATTTGATACTCTGTGAAAGACTTCAGGTCTGAATATTGTGTTTAAGAAGTATGAATTGTGGAAAAAAAATCTGTGTTGCTGATTTGTAACTGAATCGATTCACACATGCATGATTCGTAGCTCATCTGTATGGTTAAATTGTAGCAATAGTCATCATATTTTCTTTTCATCATTTTTTGAGAAATGTTGGTCATAAGCAGGTTTTGTGTATCTGCAAGCGTATGTCCTATGATCATGATGGGCAGCGCTTGTGCCGAGTTGCAGTCCATATAGATATAGTAATAGATCTAACACTGATTTGATTGTATATAATTTTAAGCATATAGCAGCAAGTTGCTGTCAGTCGTGCATCATCTGCAATATCTGTTCACTGATGCAGGCGTTATTAGGTGTCAGCACACGTATCAGCAGCTTATGTTGTCTAGCAACGTAGAAAAAGTTGCTTCAGATATTCAGAAATCATTCTCTAGTTAAATTTATTTTGATTCATTCATTCAACCCAGATGTTTCTGTTCCATTTTGTAAGAACCCATCAAACGCTTGCCTGCAGCATAGGTACGCTATACAGGTGTACATGGTATGAGCGTGTCGTTTACCTGTGCAGGAATTGGAGGCGATGTTGCCGCCGCGTCCACAGTTCATCATGCCGACCGGCGAACACATGGAGGAGGTGAACCTGCACGACTACAACCCTCACGACGAGCGTGGCAGCGGCAGGACCGACGCCTACCACGAGGATGAGGAGGAGAGTGGTGCCGGGGTGCGCTGTGCTCACCAATAGACCACCCCTCCCCCTACTGCTGGGTTGCAGTCGTGCGTTCCTGTCTTTTCATGCTCCTAGTGAATATTTATTTGTTCCGTGTTCCGGCAGTATACAGTTTGGCATCCGACGTTCATCGCGCTGCTTTTCGGCCACGTGTGGTTCAATCCACGTGGGTACACACACGTACACGTAATTTGTGCTCTGGTCGAAATCTACGTTTCCTACCGTTTCTAATTAATGTTCTTTTAATGCATTCGGCCCGTGTTGTCTCGCTTGTTCTTCATTGGTTGATGTTTGACGTGTTTTGTCCTCACGCGTTGTTTGTCGGATGGTGTTTAGCATGCCTTCTCCTGTACGTGTGAGCATGTCTTAGTGAGGCACGTGTTGTTCGTTTTGTGTTATTGGGAGTGCACAGCCGTGTGTAAGCTCAATCACGTATTTTGTGCAGAATGTGGTAGCAAAAGCATCTATTTATGGTAACAAACTGTACTCAATATACTGCAGGTTCTTCACTGTGGAATCTTTTACTACAAAGATTTGAGAATCTGAAGTAACAATATGTGCACATTCGTGTTATAACTGCACGCATACACAGCTTCAACAATCTGACCAATTAACGAAATAGTGGTCAAAACCCTACTACTTTCAAACTTCCCCAGTTTGTCATATACATCATATATAGTATTAGGCTAAGCAAAATTATAGTTGTGTTTCCGGTTACAGTGAAATAAAAGTTATTGTCTGTGAAAAACTTTTTTAACAACGTTTCATTGCTAAATTTATAAAGACGATGGGCAGTTTAAATATTTTTACAGTCAGTGAAACTCGTCGTTATAGAGAATAATTGAACCCAATCATTCACCATGCCTGCCTCACGTGTACGCAGGCAAGCAGACATTCACCCGCCTGCACACATACAGACACGATGCTGAATTTCTGCCTTGCAATTTGGCTACCTGAAGGTACAGGCACAGGGGTTCATGATCCGTTAAACATCTGCCAAGTGACCAGAAACGAGGGCCGTGCTCGTGTCTTAAAACACGTGAGGCCGGGAACGGCCTGAAATTTTTTTTTATTGGAGAATGCAATGCAAACGCTATGTTCGGCCGACTGGAAACAGGTCTTTTTGGCCTTGAGTTTATTTTATAGTCAGCCAATCCATTGCGTAGTGTTGCCAATCTATTGCAGAGTGCTTTGCAGGGCCTAGTGAAATTGATAGTCCTATCCATGGCGGTCTCCGTTGCCCAAAAATAGAAGTGGCTGACCAAGCACCCATTTAAATGCTGCTTGTCTGTGTTACTTCGTTGGAAGACGATAGCAGCTGGTGTGTGGAGTGGTTGTAGGGAACACTGACATTTGTTTTCCAGTGATGTCCGTCGCACATTGCTTTCCTCTTTACGCTTAATGGTCACAGTGGTAGCATGTAGTCATGGTGCTAGCTTCCCTTCCGGTGCACGCGCTGATGATGATGTAACTCGGGTTAGATCAGGGGCGGATCCAGAGGGTTTGGGTGACCAGTTTCCATAGTTCTAGTCTCAGCTAGGGGGGTCCGGCGGCATGCCCCCCCCCGGGAATTTAAAAAAAATTAGGCTATATTTGGTGCATTCTGGTGGATTTTGAGGGTCAATTCTGAAGATACCCAGCCTGTGACCGGTTTCCTAAATCCGCCTAAATCCGCGCCTGTAGATAGTCTATAAAGCAAGACGAGTGATGGATGCCGCGAAGAAACTAACTGCTGTTTACATCGACGAAATCTGCGCGGGTGCTGTTAGGCTGTGCGGGAAAGGCGATATCACTTGTATAGTGTATGTTCTGTGTATTGCATCAATCCGGCTAACATGCAAATACCCTCGCTAAATGATGGAGAAACAGCTCGGAAGAGCTACACGTTACTTAAGAGAAACAAACCTGTAGCCTAATAACAATTGCACTCGTCTCCTTACTCGGGTGTAGAATTGATTTGGGGTGCTTTTTCGGCGTGCGTGTTTTACACATTATCCAGTTGGCATGTATGCATGGGTTGATTAATCCTCACTACTCTAAATATCCTGACTATGTTGTCATATAGCAGCAGTCGGTCAGTACTTGTGGAGCACCGTGGTCTATTTCACCTCACAATAGATGACGGGATGACTTAATCGCTAGCATTAGTAAATGTCAGTGTTGGATTCAGCAGGACATCCATGAACATACCCTGGACGCTGGGCGATGCATCCTAAAGTGTGATACAACGTTGATATAGCGGTCACGAGAATATAGGCCCTTTCACCCGGTCTTGCTCATCTCGTCCCCAAGATCTCGCCAATGTATTGGTGGTTCGGCCTGCGCACTTGGTAGTAATCTCTTGAGGTTTTTGGCACAGGTTAGAGTAAATAGGTCTGTGAGGCATTCAGAATTTGCAGTGATGACATTGCCGTTTGCTTAATCGGTGACGGCTGTAAGTGCGCGCATGGTATTAGAAGTAAATATAAACAACCCGTGTTTTTATTCGCTCCGGGTAGTATGGCAATGGGAAAAGGCCAGTGTAGTTGTTGTCGCATTGCAATGACTATATTACCAAATGCACGACAGTCATAACACCTATGATCATTCTCTATTGATACATCTCTATTATTCACTCTTGATCATATGTTTACGTGTCGATTCATGCCGATGCGAGCGGATTTATTAATCAGCTCTCCACACCGTATATAATGTTAGTTTATGTTTTAGGACAGCCCAACAGGTCTGTGATAAGTCATGATTTTGTGACAGACGCGCCACGAAACTGTAAGTTGTGCGTTAATCGCTGGGTTCACGTGTTACCTTTGCGGCTATGTAATCTGTGAGAATTGTCTATGTGTGTATAATTGGTCAGCTAGTGAGAAGTGATTATAGATTACTTCAGTATGAATACAGCTTCGTGCGGAAAAAGGTACCGAAGACTGTAATGTAAAGATGTAAAGAAGAGTTGAGACATGGAAAAATTTACGAGCTGTTTTTGATAACAGTATCTCACCAGTTAAGACTGAGAATCCCGTATTTTCATGATGATTTAATGATAACAGCAATTTAATAGGTCTTCAGTCACGTGTAGGGTATAAATAAACCTGCAGTGACAGTGCAGTGCAAATGACAAATTTAATAACCCTACATTGTGTTGAATGTCTTCGTTTAGTTAAATGGTTATCGGCAAACATAATGAATGAGTCTTTAGCCTAATGAACATGTTAGTATCCGACAGCGTTTTGGAAAGTTCGAGTTGAGTGTTGCAGTGCTACCTACTAAACTGTATCATTCTGTTAATTTTCCATGGCTGAACTGTCACGGTTTTACATAATATACGCATATTATCAAGAGTCTATCAATAGATATGAGAGATTATTGATAGACTCTTGATATTATCTGACACATGCAAATGCCAACATGTGGTTTCCCTATGAAGTAAATACACTTCAGAAAAGTTTTAAATACTTGATACGAATATAAATTCATTATATAGTTAAATTCCAACGTTTGTGATGACGGCTGAAGATCGATAGGCACGAACACTGGTGGTACCTGCTGTTACTGCATTGACTATTGTCGAAGAGGGGCCAGAGTTGGAGCGTATCGTATGGTCGTGTGACGGCTAGTGAATATATAGATTGCATAGCTTTTGGGAAAAATTGGGTTTCGAATTAACTTAATCTGTTGAAGTAACAACTCTAGCCACTGTCACGAATACTGAATATATTTCGAATGGCGCGGGTGTCTATTCTTTCTGGAGTTAGGTGGTTGTGTGTCTGGTTATACATATTGACATTGTCTCGTAGCAATAGATACGGCGCATTGCGTGATGTACAAAACTGTGTAATGAATGGTTCACCTCAAATATAATTGCTATGATAGTCACTTTAACTTTATATTGTCATTATTCATTTCGATATGTTAATTGTCGTCCGTCTGATCTTGGTGATGAACAGTCAAAATCATAGAGCACGATTTTAAAGTGATAAAACACTCGCAGCCGATAAATTGTGTGTATTTCTTTACCGACTGAAGTTAGATCACAAGTTTATTGCGTCTTTAGCGTTATCCATTCTTTGTGATTATAATGTTCGGCATGGCTACTATCTTCTAACAGCGATCATATTTTATTAGAATTAGGTATTTAAAAATTAAAATGCATACTCCGGAATAGGTTACTATAAAAAAAATCAAACGCATTGTCTCCCTCGCAGAAGAATATGGAGCCCAACCTTCTCAACGTCCCGAGTCCGCACATTTTCGTGTGTCGAGTTTACCCGCCTGTAGGTCAATGTCCGCGTGAGTCAATTAAGATGACCCGCCTGGAGATCGGGCAGCTCAACTCACCAGCTAACTCATGTGAGATTGAAAATTGAGATTGATCATGTGGGACAAAATTATACTCTACGCATAATTAAAGGTTATTCCCACAAAAATACCACACACTTATATTTATATACAAGTACATCAACCATCATAACAAACCAGACAGAAATGATCCCCTGCCGTACCTTGAAATTATTGCACTCAAATCAAGTAATTTTATTATTTAGCTCAACACTATTGCGTCCATCAGATTTGTTCTCCATGTAAAAGACTGCTTTCGGTACATTTGAATGTGAATTATATGCAATAAAGATTTAATAATAATACGAATAGACGTTCTGACGTCCGAATGTGTAAAACATCCTAAATGAGTGAGATTAGATTTGTATTTTTACCACGGTTGGAGAGGAAGAGGTAGGCCTACTAAGGGTGCTTAAAAACATGAATACGTGCAGGTAAAGCTAATGGGTTAGATAACAATATCAAGATAATATGCCTGCAAAATTTATAAAAGATGGATCAAATATTATTTGCTCAGCTGTTACACGTGTAATCAACATGTCAGTCATCCAAGGAAAAATCCCCGATGACATGAAGGCAGCAAGAGTCATCCCAATACATAAAAAGAACAGCAAAACAGAACCCTCAAACCTCAATAAATGAGCATATAAGAAAACTAGTAATATATAGGCCTACGGACAAAGAGCTTATAATGATTATTATTATCATTATAAGCTCTTTGCTACGGATCAAAAAACAAAAACATTAACAAGCAAACTAACCAAATTTGCGAGCAAGACATAAATAGGCAAGTAAAGGAATAACTCACAAGAATTATATGGATAAAGCATTTATACAAAATAAAATGATAAAATGTAGGCGTATATAACATCTGTAGTAACATACGTTTGACTTGACAAATGAATACTGCAAGTAACTGTAACAATTAAGTGTACACGCACTAGACAGGAAATAATGAATAATATGATGCATAAAATTGGGGCATGTTTGCATGGTAACAAGATAAAGAAACAATGTTTAACATAATTAACACCAGGATAAGCAGAACACTTGAGGCTGGGTGGAAACCAAGTTGAAAACAACTGAACTTTGGCAATCAGTACAGTACAGCACTCACATATATGCAATGTAATAGAGTGTAACTTAAACGGCATATATTACTAGTTATATCAGGAGTCTCTCTTATTCGTGTTGTTTGTGCACAGGGCAGGCGTGCGGAGTACTTGTGCATGTGTTTCAGATGAGCATTTGACCGGCATTTACAGGTGATTATAGGCGAAATAGAGTAGAGAAACATTAAGACTTTGGTAGTAAATAAATTTCGTGTTTATTTACCTTTTTATTTATTTATTGAGACGTTCCAAGTGCCTGTGTGGCTCAGCTTTGCTGTTGATCCTGAGAGCTGCGCGCAGATGAGACGCGCAGTTCCGCGGGATATGCGCACGCGACCGCGGGGATGTTCAAGTATGAAGCGCTGTCCGCAGTGGACACGTGCGCCAAATTCGAGGCCCGGCGCACGTCTCCACAGCGGTCAGCGAATGGTCTGTAGTTTTAGAAGATAACAATGAAGACTTTGTTCTAAATAAGAACTATCGGCGGCTAAATAAGAGCAATATACAGACCTTTGAATTCCTTGTCTAGTCAGTCAAAGCTAGGGCTTGTTGGGGTCCATTATGCAGAGCGTCCAATTGAAATGGCCCATTAAATTGTCAAGTGGAATTGTGTTTTTCGGAACCCCTAAGAAAATGTCTCCCTCTTACATGCACCCCTCCCTGATCAATCACGCATTCAGGCGTAAACAATAACAGAGATGAAATTGTGTTGAGTTTATGGCTCTTGACGCACGTGCAATGACCTACAAGACTAATGAAAGCACAGGCACTTGGAACGTCTCAATAAAAATAAATCTTCACACAATTTTTCACAATGATCGACCGCCTGTGTGCAAAAATAGGTGAACGTATGTGAAACATATACGGTTAGTACTTACTGTGACATATCCGTGACTAACTGACACCACTAAATTGGTAAAATGTTCCATGCACTTTAAGAAATGCTGAGAAATGACGAGGTTATCATCGCAGAACTCCCGAACACCGTACGTCACAAAGCTATATGTAAACAAACACGCGTGTTGCGAGGTGCCTGCCTCCAATATCCATTTCAAGGCCCGCTATAAGCCAAGCATAAAGCGCGCGGGCAAGACGTCACACACACAGCTACGTTCATTGGCTAAAACAATCGAGTAGCGCGGTTAGGGATTTTCGGAATTATTTAATTTAAAGAAAAACTTTACTGTTCAAGGAATGACGCACTCGTTCACTTCCGACAGCGAGTGAAAATGCCAAAAATTTGCGAAATGCATCGGCCGGGCATTTCATTATTTACGAAAAGTAAACAGGCTGGCGAAAGACAGTAGGTAGGCAGTCACGTCGGTGACGCCCCATTCATGCCCATCAACGAAGGGGTTTATTCTGATTACGGAGATGCGAAAATCCAACAGAAGGACGTAGCGCAGTGCGCTAAACAGCGTGTTATTTTTATATTTGTGGCAAACTCTATCGTAGGAAACCGTTCTAACATAGCAGAATGCCCTAGTTCCTGAGATCGGCGATTTGGTGGTCCAATGGGTCCCCATATTTAAAAATATCAAAGTCTGGTGCGGCGTAGGCTGTGATTGGAAGACACAAAGTGTCAATCCTCGGCGCGCCTCGGCATCATGGCCGCATCACGTCAAGTTAAAGTTTAACAATTTTGTTTTGTATTTTTTTGCCGTTGGTCGGCGCTTGTGTCGCGCCAGAGAGGCGCTTTGCGATAATGCCAGGAATGGATAAAGGACCCTTTATCCACTCCTGATAATGCTATGGATAATGCTACACGGTTTCTACACATATATAATTGCTGAAATTATACACATGTAGTAAGCACATAAAGAGAAGTAGTTAAATTTGTAAAATCTTGTTCCCAATGAGTAACAGTAATTATAAGGCGATAAATACTCCCTGCGGAGGTGATTATGTATATGCAGATTATGCGTTCACACCAGTCTGCTACACCTACTATCTGCTAATAGCAATAACATTTTCTAAGATTTATGAATTTAAAAGCGAGATGACAGGTTCAGGAATATGTGACTTTTCAAAATTGGAAACGCACTGCCTCCCCTATTCAGTAATGGGAAGCTCAATGTTTTCATCATCCCGGTTCTGTACATTTTCCTTTGCCGTTTGGTCGGCGCGCGCGCGTTGGTGTCGCGCAAGAGAAGCAATGTATGATGACAAACAAAATATATCCATATATAATTTTATTAAAAGCATACACGTGTACTGAACACATACTCAGGAGTAGTTAGACATAAAAAATTGTGATCCCAATGATTCCTGTAATTAATCATAATGCAGAAAACATTCCAATCCTTAAAACGTGTGATAGATCATAGAGTCAGACGTGTCTCTGCCCATGGCTATTATATATTCGCGGGCGGGCCGGCGGCACGTGTGCATGGTAAAATCTTATCTACATGCTTCACTTTGCTCGCAGCATCGCGCCGCAATTCTCAGATATGCTAAATGTGCATGAAAAAGGCGCGCAGACGTCGGTCGCCGCTCACGGCTAAGATAATTTTCTTCGGCCGTTCTTATACGTTTAAACTGGAGCCGGGCGGGCTGACAGCACGTGTGCTTGGTAAAATCCGATCTATAATATTCACTTTGCTCGCAGCATCACGCACTGGGTTCCCCGCTATATCGATATTAATGTACATGAAGATGGCGCTCGTGCGTCGGTCACCGTTTACTGCCAAGAAAATTTTCTTCGTTCGTTCGAATACGTTCAAACCAGTCGCGGGCGGGCCGACGGCATGTGTGCATGGTAAAATCTTACCTACGTGCTTCACTTTGCTCGCAGCATCGCGCCACGATTCCCAGCTATGCTATATCTGCTAAGATAAATCGCATTTGTCGGAATTATATATTTAAAAACGAGACTACATATTTAGTAATAATTTTGAATAAAAATTGGAACGAATCGCTTCCCTGTATCATAAAAGGTGGCCAATATTCTCACCTGCATGCCCACCTACCCAACCCTACTTGACTATCAATCCGCTGCTTCCTCCTCTTGCCACACATCATAATCCAACTCTGTAATTGTCTCGACGGCCTACGTTGACACTTTATCACACTCCCCGACTCCCCGCCCATCAATCCATCTATCCATACATCCATACATCCTTCCATGCATGCATTCATCCATCCATCCATTCATCCAGCCATCTATCCATCCACCCGTTCGTCCGTCCGTCCGTCCGTCCATCCATCCATCCATCCATCCATCTATCCATCCATCCATCCATCCATCCATCCATCCATCCATCCATCCATCCATCCATCCATCCATCTATCCGATCCATCCATCTATCCATCATCCATCCATTCCATCCATCGCATCCATCCATCCATATCCACAATCATCATCCATCCATCCACCATCCATCCACCATCCATCCTATCACATCCATCCATCATCCATCCAATCCATCTAGTCCATCTTCCATCCATCCATCCATCCATCCATCATCCATTCCATCCATCCAGCCAGAGCCATCCATCCATCCATCCATCCATCCATCCATCCATCCTTCTATTCACCTATCCATCCATCCATCCATCCATCCATCCATCCATTCATCCATCCATCCACCCTTCCATCCATCCATCCACCCATCCATCTATCCATCCATTCATCCAGCCACCGATCCATCCATCCATCCATCTATTCACCTATCCATCCATCCATCCATCCATCCATCCATTCATTCATTAATTCATTCATTTAAACATCTATATCACTTGTGTGCGCGCGCGTGCTGATTGACACCTTCATGATTTTATGTTTGTATTTCAGGTACCCGATTTCAATTGTAGTTGCTGCGTGTAAGTGTGATGCAAATTTGTAAACTTTGTAATTACAGAAAACATTCTTCGACCCTAGTTATTTGATTCTTCTGGATAGTTACGTTCCGTACCGTAGTTATAACGCAATAAAATCGAAATTGTTTCCTATAAAAATATAATGAGTTTCTAGTAATTTGTTGTTCATTCATCATTTATTTAACATTTATACAATCTAATTCCTTTTAATACGGCATGTTAACGGCTATATCCGTTTTTACTAACATGTGTCTAACGCGTGTATGTATGAAAATGAATTTTTAACACATCAACAGGTTACTATACGACAAGTTACACGTTTCACGATTATCTATGGCTACCGAGGACACTATAGATAACCTCATGCTAGTAGTTTCATATACAATAGTTTGTTACGAATTGTACTGAAATCACCAATTGCATGCCTATACAAAGCAACGTATCGATATATACGACTACGAAAAATTAACCGAAAAGCTACTGACATTTCATCTGATAGTTTCGTAAAAATGCATTTAAACTGCATAAACAATGTGACGAGCATGCAGTGCATGATTCTACGAGAAACTATTAGACGTTACATCGAGCTACGATAGGCTTCACATAGACGCGAAGTCAGGACATAAACAATAACGTCACTTACAATGTCAATTACAATTATCTGGCCGTATAATTTATTCAGATGTGCGTGGTTTGCGTAGTTATTCTGCTCTATGAGAACAACACCGCATAAAAACCTATAGGCCTCTAGCAGTGCTAATCTGAAGAAAATTGGCCGGAAGATGTGTCTTTGCAGCAATACCCAATGGGTCTATTTCTCACCAATGTTTGTTCCGCATTTAGTTTGGCTAAAAGTCGCGCACGATTTTTGCAGTGTCTTTATTAATATATTGTTTACAATTAGGCTAAACGTTCTTAATGCGATCGCGACATATTGGCGTACTAGTGTTAGTAGATTATTTTTAATTAAAATCTGTTTATTAGGGGAAGGGAATTACACTATCATTAATTGTGAATCAAGTAATTGCACAACATAAATCCGTGACGACTCTTCATTCGTTCGTCCATATCGATGATGTGTCCTGGATGGCTAACCATTTTGTTATGAGCTAAAGTAAAACCAGTGCCAGCAATCCCAGAAGCACGCGAAGAGCTACAGACAATGACCGCTGAAAGCACAAGCAATTGTAGAAATTAACACAAAAAAGTTCGACAAAAATGAAAAGCTTCACAAAACAACGTATCATTATTTACCAATACTTTCACGATAGGCGTGGTGTTACGTAATTTGCCGAGATCCCCAAGAACATGGTATTTTACGTGCTAACGAATTATTCTTTGTATAACCGAATTAGAGAAGTTATCTATAATTCACATACTCTTTTTAATATTTAACATTAATAGTAATTTAAGATGTAGCAAGCTGATCGCATAACGCATTTAGTTGATCGTTTATATAATAAATTATGTACAATGTCACCATGTTATGTAGACACGATGGCTATGAATAGATGACTTGACTATCTTAGGGCAAAAACATTCTAGACACTCGGCAGGAGTCGAGAAGCACTGTGCTTGTAGGGTGGACGGTCAAACGCACTGGTCACACATATGAATAGTGGAGTGTATTTTTGGTAAATATCAATATAGATTTAATGCAAGCTTATACGGAGATAATTAGTTTTAAAGCATATTTTCACGTGCCATCACACACGAGTATTGTATGGACGAGACCAAGGTGTAATTACTCTAGTAATAATGTAAACACGTTCGAACTGGTCAATTAGAGTTCAGTAAGTCGTTTTAATGCTTATTATATCTGTTGTTAATTATGAAAATTAGAGGTAGATATTTCGTCTACAATCCATAAAAATACACTCGAAATCGAATTGAAATGTAATTCAGAACCATACAAATGAAATGAAATTTTGACGAGGGAAATTCTGTGTTCATATTCACCTGCTATATAGCTTGTCCTCCGCGCTATCCACGGAGGCCGAACCCTGTCGATTTCCATGACATCAGCGCCAAGAAAGCGCCAATCCCGAAAGCAAACAACGCAACAAAACCCAATATCTACAAATGAACAAAACACAGCCTCAAAAATTACATTATTATAAATGAATTTTTATGAGCAACAGTGCTTACTTGTTTGATTGTACATAATTATTTATAAATATGACAGGTTTAATCTTTTACATTAACAGTTCGTCTAATATTTAGTAAAGAGATCCTAGGTATATCATAACTAATGTGAAGAATTACAGTACACAATGATAATTATAGACATACTGGGCGAATTTATTAGCTTTGGGTCAGTCTAGAGAATTTTGATAGTATTTCTAGTTGGATGAATTATTCATTAACATTACGCTAATCTAAAGTTAGTCGGGTTCATGAATTTTATCACATGCCTGATACCCTAACACAATTGACATTGACATGTGTCTGTAATGCTATAGCACTAATTACCTCCGCCAGGGGCTTGGCGGAGGTTATGTTTTCACCGGCGTGTCTTTGAGTGTTGGTTTGTGTGTTTGTTACCATGCACGTTTCAGTTCACTTCCGCTAGGTGCGCTGGCTGTAGACTTACAAACACACAACCACAGGCTAAGGGGCAACCACAGTCCTCCCCACCTGCACGCTCCCACTAATCCGGATCCAATTAATTAATTAATTAATTAATTTTTCCACTTAATTAATTAATTAATTAATTAAAAATTTCACATTGAGAGAAATCAGCAGCCTTGGCGGAGGTCTGTGCTCTCCGAGTGCTCTAATTGCAAATGCATTTCTAAAGAGTAATACTTGGTAATAAGAAGTTCGTCTGATAAGGACATCATTTACTGTAGGTCAACAATTTTAATGTAAGTGTCTTACATTGGTGCAACAACTGGTGCAAGTGTCTTACAACAAGTGTACATTGGTGCAAGTGTCTTACAAGGTGCATTCATCGATGGAATAAAATAACCATTTATTGTTACGTTAAACGAACGAACAGGCTGTGATGCTGTTTATCGCACTTTGCACGCGCCACCTATTTTGCTTTCTAATCTTCTATGTATTCTCGCAATGCGTACGATAGATAGTTCAAGAGCGCCACGGGCTATCCCGCGATCCACCGCTGTGCCAACGATGAGATGCGATTGTGCTTATCGTTGTACGTATCGCGCCGATTACCCCATGAGATCAATATACCATTCAATAGGGTTATACACATACGATCAAGAGCGTATAAAGAAGGAGCGTATATATCCTTCTTTATACGCTCTTGATACGATATGTATGTACATATATATATATATCGCTAGTATGTATCAGAACGACCACCTCACTTCCAACCGCAACTTCTAAAAGCAGTCTTTTTTGCACACTGCTCAGTATGATTGTTGAAAGTCTAGCAACGGAACAAGCGGCTGCTACGTTATGGTCGGGCTTGCTCTACACCACTAATAACGGCATGCACAGTTCCACTAAAATTCAGAAATTTCTAATCTCAGCAGAAGATGTATGCAAGCTCTCGGGCAAAGCACCAGCCGTCAGCACACATTGCTATAAAGCCTTAGGACGTACTCGTATCGCATATGCTATCAATATATCAATACAGGCCAATGTTTAATCTCTATTGATCATCAGACACAGGCCTCCTAGACAGCAGTGGGGGATATAAGTCGCCGGCGACAGTATAGTCCATCAGCCAGGGGGGTTGGTCGGTATCAAATCGGGGGGGGGGGGAGAATGCTAATAGTGATTTTTGGGAAAGTCTGGACCCCTAGAGTTAGAAAATATGTGATAGCATTGTGGGGGGCAGCTTTATGTGAGTTATCTCCCCTTTTCCAAAATGGCCGCCAAAATGCTCATTTAGCTATATATCATGTTCTAGAGCAGCTAGGACAGTGATTTTGGTGTCTATATGACCAGGTATTATGAGTCGTAGATTTCATTTCTGTCTTTACCTAAAACATTGAACACACATTTGATGAAAATAAATCCAAGATGGCCGCCAAAATGCAAGATGGCCACCAAAATTGCTGTTTTCCAGCTCGTAATGCAGTTAGGACAGTAATTTGTGTCTATTATTTCAACTAGTCAAAGATTCTTTATTCACCTAAATATAGTTATCTGGTGGAGTTAAACTTCTGAAGGATTCAACAAAGAAGAATATCCACAGAAGACTGCAATCCGAGCTTGGAGGTTCCATGGAAATATTTCCCGATGACAAGGGAAAGTTGTTGATGGTTCCCTACTGTGTATCATTAAAGGATGTTGTCTTGGAAAATCAAACTCTACACAGGGAGCTTAAGCTTTGGAAGGCCAAGTCTACAGATGTCAACAAGATCATAGATCAGACTTCATCACATATCCGAACGGCCATCAAACAGGACATGATATCCACACCATGGCCATACCATCCGTCTGATGTAGCTACTCATATCGCCATACCAAATCAACTAAAGCGATTTCTTGTCGGGCTCCTCACTGGAGATTCTAGTACTACGAATACATCCCACAGGACTGCTATTCTAGTTGAGTCATTTAGCCAGGACATGATATACGCTGTGACACGTGGGCAGCATAAACCACCAAAACATTTCCTGCTTTCTTATGCGGTGAAAGCACTCACTGGAAACATTAAGGTCATTCGGACACTGAACAAGTTTGGACATGGAGTGTCTTATGACTAGCTAGAAGAGAATGATACTGCTCTCTGTCTCCAAAAGTTAGCAATGGGCTTCAACCAGAGAGCTGTTCTACTAGTCTCCATCAAACTC